GAATCATGGAGAGCATTGTGACACTGTGGGGCCCCAGGGAACCAAAGGGCCACTGTGACCCTGCAGGGCCCCATGGAGGCATGGGGCCATTGTGACACTGCAGGAGCAAGGAGAACATTGTGACACTGCAGGGCTTCATGGAACCAAGGGGAGATGGAACAGGTCTGGCTGGTTTGGCCTCCCAGGGGCCACCAGACAGGTCCAGCTGATCTTGAAATACTGGGGGCTGATTCTCATCAGTTCTTGAAGAACTGGGGCTCTGTGCTTTCCTTCCTGTGGAAAAGAACCATCTCTCTTTCCAGGTGCCCAAGGCCAAAACTGATAATCCCCCTAAAATATTCCCTATCTGCAAGGATTCTCCCAGGCAGAAGCTGCCAGGAAAGAGAGCTCTGGTTGGCCTTGGCTTCTGGTGGTCACCTCTAATCTCAAGGAAGCCCTGAGGAAAGAATTTGAACATGTTTGACTACTGGAACATCAATAAATGTCTCTCCTCCTCTGAAAAACTCAGATGATCTTCTGATCATATGTGTCTCTTTTTTTCTCATTGTGTATTTTGCACGAAACATTATTTTCAGCTAAATAATATTATTCTTCTCACTCTACCTAACACTCTGCAGCATTATCTGACACAAAACACCTCCTCTATGTACGGATTCAGTTCACCTGCATAAGCAGATACAAGAAAGAATGCAGCAGGAATGATTTGTGTCTGCTCCCATCTGTCCCATCTCCTCTGGAGCTGGAGGTGCAGCCCCAGCACATGGCAGGGCTCAAGGGCTCATAAGCTCAGCTCCCACCCAGAGAACTTGCAGACCCTGGGGTGCCCCTTCCAGCCTCACTGCCCAGAGCCTTTCTGCAGCCTTCCCCCTAGAGCTGCTGCTTCCCTGCAGCCCTGGCCATGGCCAGCAGCAGAACGTGGTATGTCCTGAGCAGCAGAGCCAGCTCAGGGCCCTGTGGGGATCAGGGGCTGGGGCAGCAGGACAAGCCAGCCCAGCCAGCCAGGACACACTCAGGTGTGGAAAGGGATGTCCAGGGAGAAGGGCAAGGGAGCATTTCTGGGCCTGCAGGGAGGAATCCAGGGGAAGCTGCAGCTCTGGCCAGGCCCCTCTGTCCCCTGCCCACGGATGCTGTGCTGGCCTGGGCAGAGGGGCTGGCACTGAGTGGGCAGAGGCAGCCTGTGCTGAGCATCTCCTGGAGGAATTCAGAAATCTGACCTGAACATGTGTTCATGTGTTCATGAAAGCCAGAGCTCAGCTGGAGCTGATGGGCGCTGCAGGCAACATCCAGAGCAAAGTTAATTCAGTCGCTGTGCTTGCAGCAAATGGCTGCAAGAGGAACATAACAACCTGCTGCTGCTGAATGAGGGCAGGGAGGGGCAAATCAAGGCTCACAGAATGGCTTGGGTTGGAATCCTAAAGACCATCCAGTTCAAATCTCCTGCCATGGATGGGCACACCTTCCACTGGACCAGATTGCTCCATCCAACCTGACCTTGAACCCCTCCAGAGGTGGGGACTCTGCAGCCTCTCTGGGTAACCTGTGACAGGGCCTCACCACCCTCACTGGCAAGAATTTCTCCCCAATATCCCATCTAAACCTGCCCTCCTTCACCTCATGGCCATTCCCCCTTGTCCTGCCCCTCCAGGCCTTTGTCCAAAGTCCCTCTCCAGCTCTCACAAAGTCCCTTTAGGTGCTGGAATGGGCTCCAATGTCTCCCTGGAGCCTTCTTGTGCCCAGGCTGAACAGCTCTAGCTCGCTCAGCCTGGCTCCAGAGCAGAGGAGTTCCAGCCCTGCAAATTTCCATTGTGACACTGCAGGACTTCATGTAACCAAGGCTCCATTGTCACTCTGTGGAACCGAGGAGACCCTTGTGACACAGGAGTGCCCCATGGGAACAAGGGGCCATTGTGACACTTCGGGGCCTCATGGAACCAAGGAGAGCATTGTGGCACTGCAAGGGCTCATGGAAACAAGGAACTGTTATGACACAGGTGAGGCAAATGGAACCAAGTGGCCCATTGTGACATGGCAGGGCCTCGAGGAACCCAGGGGCCATTGTGACACTTCAGGGTCTCAGGAAAGCAAGGGGGGATCATTGTGGCACTTTGGGGTCTTGTATAACCAAGGGCCAGTGTGGCACTGCAGGGTCTCATGGAACCAAGGGCCATTTCAAAACTGCAGAGCCAAGAAGAGCATTGGGACCCTGTGGGGCCTGACTGAACTGATGAGAATATTGTGACACAGTGAGACCTTATGGAAACAAGGATCCATTGTGACACTTTGGTGTCTCAGGGAACCAGGAGTCCAGTTATGACACTGCAGAGCCAAGGAGATCTTTATGACACTACAGGGTCTCATGGAACCAAAGGGGCATTGTGACACTGCAGGGCCCCATGGAATTGAGGGGACATTGTGACACTGCTACCTGAAACTGGAAAAAAAAATAAAATAAACTGCTTAACACCAGTGAGTAGTAAGAAGCAGCACTCTTTATTCAGCCAGATGCAGAAGGGGGAATAACTCCTCCCAAAGCTGTGCATGCTGAGTACAGGAAGTTCCTGTTTACAGTTTGTATTTTACATACATATTCAGTGACTGTCACAGAGTAAACATACACATGATAATCCTTTCCCTGAAATCATTAACATATTTTTCCTCCCCTTCACAGATGTGTTCTTGTATCCTGGGGGTGTCTTTGGTGGTGCCTGGTAGTTGGTGAGGCCAGAGTCACACCTGACTGCCCAGTAAATGGTTAAAAGTTGGCACAACTGGAGCTGGTCACTTTGCAATTCTCCTTCTTGTACAATGGACATTGTGCAGTTCCATGGGCCAGTGGATTTTGAAGAACAAGCATTGTGGGATTGTGGGCACTCACCAGGGGGAGATGGTTTTTCATGTGGTAACATCTTGCCCTTTGAGGCTTGTGAAGATTCTTTTCTCTTCAAGCCTTCCTAAGCCTCACATCAGTGTCTGCTAGAATTAAATCTCCCTCCCCATCCCACAGCAGCCCTGCCTTTCCCTTCTGCAGCCATGGTCTCCAGCACAGCCATGGAGGCTGTTTGGCTCTGGACTGTTCCTGCAGCCCCCAAGGGCAGCTGAGCTCTGCCTTTGGCACAGTCAGGCCTGGCCAGCGCAGGCCATGCTTAGCAATTCCCTGTCTGTGCCGGGCCTTGCTGTCAGCCCCGGCAGCGGCTGCGTGGCCCCTTTGTGGCCCTGTGCTGGCCCAGCCATGGTGGCCCAGCCCCTGTGCAGGCCCAGCCCAGGCCAGGAGCATTGCGGCCGGGAACAGCCCCTGTGCCGTGGTGCCCACAGCAGCCTTGGGGCTCTGTGCCCCATGGCCTCCCTGTTGGGCAGCCTCTGCCAGCTCCTGCAGAGCCCATGGCACCTGTGGGGCTGCACAGACAGCCCTGCCCCGGGCTCTGCCGGCCTCTGGGCCAGCAGAGAGGCAGCCAGGGCTGGCCATGGCTGGGAACAGGCCCTAAACCCCACAGGAGGATGGAGCTGGGCCACAGCCAAACTCAGCCCAGGCCAAAGCTGGCCTCAGCAACCAGGGCTGCCAAGGGCTGGGCACAGAGGCTGGCAGTGACAAATGTCCTGGGCCCCCTCCATGCTCTGTCCATGCCACCAAGGGCACAGAGCAGCCTCCTCTCTGGGCCACTTGCCTGTTTGCAATGCCTTGCACAGGCGCTGGCCCTGCCCCACAAGGCCTGGCCTGAGTCCTGCCCCTGCACGCTCAGCCAGGCTGAGATGGACACTGATGGTTTCTGGGCCAGGCTCTCTGAGCCCAGCCCAGCTCCCTGCAAGCTCTGCCAGCTGCCCTGAGCTCTGGGCAGCACCAAGGGCCTCTCCCCAGCCCAGCCCAGCCGGCTCTGGCCCCACAGCTCTGCTCAGGCCAGGGTGCTCTGGGCACTGCCCCACGGCCTCAGCCCCTGGCAAGGGCCCAGCAGCAGCTGCAGCTGCCACAGGACTCAGCCCCAGCATGGGGGAACATGCCTGGCCAAGGGAAAGGAGGCTCCCTGGGTGCCCTGCTCTCCTCTGCAGGAGATGCTGAGAGCTCTGCAGCCCCTGCTGCCGTCCCATCTGCCCAGGGCAGCACAAAAGCCCCGGCCTTGGGGCGCTCAAGAGCTGCTCCTGCTCCAGGCTCAGGGCCCATCCCAAAGCTGGGGCAGCCACAAAGCTCTGCCCATTTCTGTTCATTCCTGCTGTGATAAGAACAGTATAAAATTTTTTACAAAATGGTTGCATATTCATTTATTTCACCTAAACACAATGTGAGACTCCCTTCTTACACAATTTCTCTGGGTCACACAAGTAGGAGGGATGATTAAATTGAAGGGGGTGGATAAGAGCATTTCTTTTATTATAACAGAATCAGAAGCAGAAAAAAAATTAAAATATACTTAAGGGCAGACTTGGCCTCTCATGATATGCACTGAGAGCTGCTGACAGAAGAAAGCAGGCCTTCTGTGGCTTGTTCTGGTGGGTTACCTCTGCTGGAGTCCATGTGACTACCAAGCTGCTTTAGCACTCCCCTCCTTGGCTGCACAAAGGAAAGAAAGTGTTATGGGAGACCAATTGTGGACTGAGAAAAGGCAGTTTTCTATAGCAAAAGGGGAAGTTTTTACAGGCACCAGCAATGAGGAAAAACCCCAATAATTTTAATCTCTTCTTCTGTCAGCAAGTGATGTTCAGCCACTTCCTAGGAAGCAGAACTTCAGCAGTTGGAGTGGTTAATCAAGAAGACAAACACTGTAAATAGGAAATGCCCCCTATTCTTCCTCCTTCCTTAGCTTTTATACCAGAACTGGGGCCATACAGTCTGGAATATCCCTTTGGTTAATTTGGGTCTCTGGCCTGCTGTCCCTTCCCAGGACCTGACCCACTTGCAGCCCCTTGACAGAGGGAGAATGCTGAGAGACAGCCGGAGCCAAAGCAGGGGTGTGTTTCCAGCTCCTTTGTGGCTCCCAATGCAAAGCACTGCGAGGGCTCGTATAGGACAATTAAAAGGCTGAAAAGCATCCAGTCACAGCTTTCCTGAGAGATTCCTTGAGCTGCTGGTTCCTCAGGCTGTAGATGAGGGGGTTTAGGGCTGGAGGCACCATCGAGTACAGAACGGACACTGCCAGATCCAGGGATGGAGAGGAGATGGAGGGGGGCTTCAGGTGAGCAAATGTGTCAGTGCTGAGAAACAGGGAGAGCACGGCCAGGTGAGGGAGGCAGGTGGAAAAGGCTTTGTGCCGTCCGTGCTCAGAGGGGATCCTCAGCACAGCCCAGAAGATCTGCACATAGGAAAAAACAATGAACACAAAACAACCAAAACCTAAACAGAAAGTGACCACAAGAAGCCCAACTTCCCTTAAGCTGGAGTGTGAGCAGGAGAGCCTGAGGATCTGGGGAACTTCACAGAAGAACTGGCCCAGGACATAGCCATGGCAAAGGGGCAGGGAAAATGTATTGGATGTGTGCAGCAGAGCATTGAGAAAGGCACTGGCCCAGGCAGCTGCTGCCATGTGGGCACAAGCTCTGCTGCCCAGGAGGGTCCCGTAGTGCAGGGGTTTGCAGATGGACACATAGCGGTCGTAGCACATGATGGTCAGGAGAGAAAACTCTGCTCCGATGAAGAAGATAAAGAAAAACATCTGTGCAGCACATCCTTTGTAGGAGATGTCCCTGGTGTCCCAGAGGTAATTGTGCATGGCTTTGGGGACAGTGGTGCAGATCATGCCCAGGTCAGTGAGGGCCAGGTTGAGCAGGAAGAAGAACATGGGCGTGTGCAGGTGGTGGCTGCAGGCTACGGCGCTGATGATGAGGCCGTTGCCCAGGAGGGCAGCCAGGGAGATGCCCAGCAAGAGGCAGAAGTACAGGAGCTGCAGTTGCGGCGTGTCTGCCAATGCCAGCAGGAGGAAGTGCCTGATGGAGCTGCTGTTGGACATTTCTTCACTCTGGTCATGGTGCACTGTTGAAAGAAGACACTGACAAGCTGGGAAAGAATTAATTGTGTTATACTTATCCTTTTTTATTATAAATCCCCTCAAAATTACTTCCTTTTTTGGGGGAACTTTGGGGAACATTTTTATCTCTGAGCTCAGGTTTAGGCTGCTGCCTCATCTTCAGCATTGCTCTCTGCCAGAGCACTGGGGAGCCCAGAGGGAAAACAGGGCTCCCTGTGCCCCAGTGAAATCAGACCTACGCATCCCACACAGGTGCCTTTTGCTCATTTCACCACTCTCTATTTCAGGGTGATTGCACTTATAACTTGATTGAACAATAATGTGGAATTTTAAAACACTCCAGTTAAAAAAAAATTTCTCCAAATCCTTCTCTCTTTCCCTGTGCACCTGAATAGGAAAGGATACCAAGGGTTGCTCTGGCTCTCTGCTGCCCCGAGTTGTGCCTACTGGGAGCTGTTTCTCTCTATCCAAGTCCTGTCCCTGCCAGTGCTGCCAGAGCCCAGCCCTGACCTGGGGCTCAGCTATGCCCTGCATACCCCTCCCAGCACAGGGCACTGCCCAGGGGCATCTCCCTGGCAGCAGGGCCTTAAGGGCAGACCAGACAAACAGAGATGCTGCAAGCCAAGGTGCTGCTGTCTGTAGGGAGAGGAGGCTGAGGAGGAACTTTCTGAGGGAGATCTGAGGCCCATCTGCTGATTCCCAGGATGACAGTGCAGGAGTCTCAGTGACACAGACACAGCTGACAGCCCCTTTCCCTTCCCTTTAGGAGAAAGCTGAGAGCAGCCCTGGCCATGCAGCACCATCTCCAGAGCAGGAGGAATCTGCCCTGATAAGGGTGGCTCCTTCCACCCCCAACTTCTCCCCTGCAGCGTCCATGGGGAGCTGCCAGGCAGGCTGAGAGCTGCCCCTGGCAGGTGGCACATGCCCTGGGCTGGCCAAGAGCCCTGAGGGCTGCAGGAGCTGCTCTGCAGGACAGCCCTGGGCAGCCCTGGCTGCAGCCCCAGCTCCAGCCCCTGCAGCCGTCCCTGGCAGCAGGAGCCGTCCTGCCCTGGCCCTCTGACAGTGCCCAGGGCAGCCCCGCTCTGCAGCACATCCTCCTCCTCCTCCTGTGCCCCAGAGAAACTGGGAGAGTCCTCCTGACACATCCCTTAGGCTGTGGGGTGTGCTGGCTTCAGGAGATCCCTCCAGGAGCACAGGGGACATTGCCCTGCACCCACACACTCACCATGCACATGGCTGTGAAGATCTTTCCCCAAGTGAAGTCTCAGCTCAATGTCTTCCCAATCCTGATTGCCTTCAGCCTGTCTCTGCCTGGCTCCTGTCACCTCAGTGTGGCAGAGCCTTCAGCCCTGCTGGGCTGGGAGAGGAGCTGGTGCTGGGAAGAGCTGTTCCTTTAAAGCTCAGCAGCACAGACACAGCAGAATGACTTTAATGAGCCTCTTGGGAATTTGGTGGTGTTTACATCAGACGCAGTCCCTGAGAGAGTGTTCAAAAAACTTCTCAAGAACTCAAAGTTAAATTGAAACTCCAAAGTTTCTAAAAGTTTAATAATTCTCTCTGAGAATGTGTCCCCAGGTTCCAGTTAGAGCAGAACACTGGAGGCAGTGATGACAGCTGGGGACAAACAAGGCCAAGGTGTCTCTGGTGCTGAGCAAAGCTGGATGTGTTTGAGGAATGTAAAGGGCCAAGGCCTGAGCCCCAGCCCCTGGCCAGGCAGATGCTGTCCCTCCCTCCTTGCTCAGGGCTCTTGCTGGGATGGGCACTGGCATGTGGGGATGTGCAATGGCAAGGGCAGGAGCATGGGGCAGCCCCTGCCAGGCTGCTGAGCAGGGACAAGGAGGCAATGAGGCCCCAGGCCTGCAAGGGTCACTTGTCTCCTGCTCCTGCCTCAGCACTTTCCTTTTTATGGAAAAGAATCCTCCCTCCTTCCCAGGCACCCATTGTGGGAAAACAGGGCTCCCATACTACTAACCAGTATGATTAAGCAGAAACCATTTATTGTTTACATTATGCACCTATTTATACATTCTAACCCTACTGCATACACTGATCACGCTCTTCTTCATTGGAGCCTCTCTCTTATCCTTGTGTTCTGCATGCACTTCTTGGAGTATGTGACTGGTTACAGTTCAGATGGTTCACAGCCCTCTCTTATCGAGTTCTTGTGGTCTTCGTATTCTGTTTCTCAGCCTTTTCTTTCTTCAATAAGCACAGTTTCTGTCTTAGTAACCTTGATGAATTCCAGAGGGCTCTGATAAGAATGACTACAAGCAACATGGCTCATGCACAGTGTGGCCCAAGTTGTTCAGATACATTGCTAAAATTCCCCCTTCTTCTTCTTGCACCAGCCAAATCTTTTTCACTGTTTTTTCTACCAAGAAGGTCACCAATTTCACTATGCATGGAATAATACAAAGCAATATAATAATAACTGCTAGTAATAACAAAGCTCCCTTTAAGGTATCTTTCAATCATCCAGTTATTCCCCATCCCTCAAACCATTCATCCAAGCCCAAATCATTCACAGTTAATTTCTTCATGTTGTCTTCTAGTTGTTTGAGTTTCCTGTGAGTGGAAGAGAGTAGGTTCATAAAACATATTCCTTCAAAATTCTCACACCTGTGTCCATGTGCTAACTGCAAAAAATCTATAGCAGCTCTATTTTGCAGTGTGCCATGTCTAATACTATCTACATCAATGAGCATTTGATTTAAAATAGCTGAACTTGTGTTCAGTGTGGGAATCTACAAAATGAGAGGGTTTTGGGGAAGCTGCAAAAGGCAGGCCTCAGAGACAGCAGAACTGTGATTAGAGCTAAGCAGTAGCCATGAGATAGGTCAGCAGAAAAATTATTTAAAAAGTAGAAAAGCAAGGAGAAATAGAACAATGGTCTATATCTTAACGCTTGTCTAGAATAACTCCCTAAGATACAGAAAAGTTTTTCTGCCAAGACATTAGGAAGTTTGAAGCTTAATAATGGAGCTCTGTGCATTGTGTTTTAAAGCCTACAAGCAGGTATTGTATTCAAAATAAGTAAGCATTGGTTTTACCAAAGATACATGTGCTTATAGTGGTTGGATAGAACTGCTGTCAATATGCTTTTGCTTTGTGGGATTGGTTAAAAAACTTATAAATTAAGTTGTGCTGTTAAGTTCTTGGTCTGCTGCTTGGGATGTGAGCTGCTGGCTTCTTCACATTGTCGTAACCATGTAATGAGACTGATGCTGAAAAATAAAACAGCTCAAGGCACGTTCCACAGCAGTGTCTTTCCTGTTTGTGATTTGTACATAGCCCCTGGCTCTCTCTATACAAGAGACACTGTGCAAAGTACTTTACGCTATTCGAATTTCATTAATTCTAATGTCATATACCTTTCACGAATTGCTCTCAAAAAGAACCAAATCCCTCTGTCTTAAGGCACTTTCATAACAACATGTACACATACCTCAAAGAAGGACCTCCAGTACTTGATCAGAATCAGGAATCTAAAATTGTTGAAGGGCCATAGCCTCTCATTATGTGGGTGACAGAATATGCTTGTGTTTCTACAGATACAGCACCCCGGTGGACTCCCAGAAGATTTATCAGTCCCTACGTCGACCACAGATCTGAAGACGACCCCTCGAATCAACACAAAGTCAGCTCCCTCTCCCACCATGCTACAGAAGCAGCTTTCTCTTGGAGATGAAGAAAAAAGAAATTCACATATCCAAACATTGTGGCAAGGACACTCATCACACGTAGATATATCCCACTGATAATGTCCATGTCAACCTCAAATGCCTCAAACACCCCTCCCTTTTCCATCCCTCTACCAGTGACCCTTTATCCCTACCCCTCCTCTTTCCCCTCTTGAAACTACTCCTTTTTCCCTGCCTCAAACTTCCCTTAAAAAAGAGAAGGGAGTGATTGGGAGGAGCTGGTAAGAACTATAGAGGGAACTTAAGAATATTTAAGGATGTCTTAAAATAAGTGACCTAATGTGTGATTTTACCATCCTCAAGTGAAAACTACCCAGTGGGAAAGAAGAAGTATGATTCTTCCTGCGTTACCCTCCAGGGCACCCCGCAGCAGTACCAGTGCCACCATTGCCATCGTCTTTATCAGCACCCTCATCTGTATCCAAGTGACCACCGGGTGGATCATCCCTCAGCCAAAACAAAACATCAGGGTCACTTTGGCAAAGTCATTAAAGCCAGACAATCTTTGCATGCCCATGGAAAGCGTAGACGATACCCTCTTAACATTCTAGGTGGGAGTCCCCCTGTCACCAAATGACTGCCTGTACGTAGGTAAGAAACCCAACCCCATGGACACCTGGGACAAATGGACAAAGATCCTCCCACACCATGTCTCCACAGGATTTGCTTTTCAAGGTCCAGGATGGTGTTCCGAGCCATAGCATGAGACACAGGGTAGGTTTCCAACCATCCAGTGGTGGCTTCCACCATGGTCAGCACATAGCGCTTGCCCTGGCATGTCTGGGGCAGTGTGATGGAGTCAATCTGCCAGGCCTCCCCATACTTGTACTTGGACCACCACCCACCATACCAGAGGGGCTTCACTCGCTTGGCCTGCTTGATGGCAGCACACGTCTCACA